CTGAGGTACCACTGTATCTGCATATTGTCAGTTTAGAAGTAAATCCCACTGAGTTCAATGGGATTTTATTTTCAAGCAAGAGTTCAGAAAATGGTTTTCTAAATTTGTATGATAAACGGATGCATATGAATATAGTTCAAATTGCAAACATAAGTGTATGAGCTGGGATAGGGATTGTACACCATGCATTTTGAAAGAGTTTTTAAAGCTGTTTTTCTTCTGGTCATCTTTTTTCACTACTTATTTTCTGAAGAACCACTATCATTTATATCAAGAAAGTGTTTTTTATTCAATTTATGTTCCTTTAGGTCAGGCATGGCCAAACTCAACCCTCCAGATGTTTTGGGACTACAACTCCCACCATCCCTAGCTAACAGGACCAATGGTCAGGGATGATGTGAACTGTAGTTAGAAAACATCTGGAAGGCCGAGTTTGGCCATGCTTACTTTAGGTAGATTTACCTTCTAGCCCCTTATGCTGCAGAACGGTAGATGATTTCTATGTAAAGAAATTTAAAGTGCTAAATAATTTCCTAGTTAAATTGTCATTCAGTGTGTGCTTCCTTTTTTTTAAAATTTAAAAAGCAATTCCAGTCAACTTTCTAACAAAGGCAATAGGTTTACTCTTAAAATAGTCTGTGTTACAGAGATGCAAGATCGGTTTTATTATAGGCAGTTCATTAATTCTGAACACCTATGTAATCATTGCCATGCATTAAATTCAATGCATACTTTCACTTTAGCTGAAAGCTATTGACAGCGTCACTTTGTTGATTCATATACCACTGCTGAAGACATTTCAATAAATCACAACCAAAACAGAGCCTCTTGTAGGGGGTCACCATAGTCAACTCAGCCATGGGTTAAAGAGCAAAGAGTTGTTGTTGTGTCCACTAAAAAAAAGTTTCAGAGAACTGCAATTGTGTAGAAACTCTTCCCAATTAAGCAGATAGAAAAAACACTGCTAGATATATTTTAAGGTTATACTGACAAGACAAACCCTGACAAATTGCATTGGTTTTAATTGTTATCATTATATTTCTAACCCACCCTATATCAAATGTTCTCAGGACAGGTTACAATCAATAAAATGACAACACAATATGAACCATAAAATCACTACAGAACACATATCTCTAAGAATTCTTAGGCTGGAATTAGATTTACAAGAGCCACTGGCCTGGCACCAAATGTAATAACAACAATAATAATAATAAATTAATAAAATTTTATTTATATCCCACCCTCCCTAGCCGAAGCTGGGCTCAGAGCGGCCGATGTAGCACTCTCATGGCTTGTTTTCATCTTTACCTTGCAGTACCTGCAATTTCTGCTGTGATTGCACCTCCCAATTTCTCTTCTGATATATCACATGATCACAGTTTATCAGACAGTTCATGACAGAGAGGTGGAAGGGGAACAGAGATGGAGGAGCTGCCTTTGACATCAGCCATACAATCCTCATCACGTCTTGTTCCAGACTTCTTACATTCCTTTCAAAATGACAGAAATTCATGCTGATTCAGCAGTTCCAAAGCGTGTGTGAGCTGAAACAAGTGATGCGCACACAAAGACTTGTGTAAGATGAAAGTGACCTTATTTTTTTCAGTAGTAGAGGAAGGTTTTGTGACATGTTATCCATACACACAAATGGAGGTTTTCCTAGGGTAGGGCATGACTGGGGAATCTGTTGTGTCCTTCAGATGTTGTTGGACTACACCTCCCATCTTCCCTCATCTTTGGCCATGCTAGGACTGATGAGAATTGGAATCCAACACCTGGAGGACTACATGTTACCTGTCTATGGTGCTTCCCAGCCAAAGGAATGCACACGGCAGATAGTAACTCTTTATTGTCAAAGATAACAACTCTACCCACACCAATCTAGCATCTAGGCAGCTATTCCCAGGTCTGCACTCTATCGAGCAGTTGTAGCAACAGGGGACAACCACCCTTCCACCAGTTTATGTACCTTCCATCCCCCCAACGGTCTGCAGGCATGCACCCAAAGACTGCACTGGCATGGCAACTTCCTCTGCTCATCCCTTTTCAATCCTGGCTCTTCACTTGTCTGACCTGCTTCTTTGTCCTCTTCTTCTGACCCATCTTGTGTTCCACCTCCAGCTCTGAAGCTTCCCCTGCCTCTGTCTCTTGCCTCCCGGCCAGTGCAGTTTCCCACAAATCAATGAGACACACACCCCCCCCCCAGTCATACTCCATTCTCCCTTTCTCCAGTGCACACTTGTCAGCATCCTGCCAGTCCCTGACATCATCCATCTTTGTTTTAGAATGGCACATTAAGCACTGAGCCTGGAAAAAACGTTATTCAAGCATTTCCCCACAAAATGTGTTATTTTTAAATTCAGTTCACATTACAAACGTCCATGGTACTGTACTAGCTTTTATGTAAGTTCTATATATTTAGGCTCATCTCTTGTTTATTTTCTTCCTCATGGTTGGCTAAGTAAAATTCAGGTGTGTATTTACTATGATTATGTCAAGGAAAATATACATACACAAGTGTGACATCTTCTGGATCACTCTCAAAAATTCCTTTGGACCTTTGTCATCTTGGCAGAAGCACCTGAGACTGTCCATTTTACAGATGTATGTACAGAACTGAAATCTTTCCATCTGCTTTTCTGTGTGTTTGGCCATATAACTTCAGCCAGTGTTTGGATTTCATCACAGGGGGTGCCAATTCCCTGCAGAGTCAGGAGGGAGAAAGTGTGTGAATCATCCTGAAGGATTCCAGATGTGATGTTCCCATTACCTGTTTGAGTGTATGCATTCATGAGCATTGCTCACTCCAGAAACAGGGATTGAATCCAACACAGAATTAGGCATACTTAATTCTGTGTTGTTGGATTGTAACCAGCATGTTTGTTCTCCCCCTGCCCCCACTGTGTGCCTTTTTCAAATGCATTCCATAGTTTCTTCTCATCCTGCTTGCTACTAGTTCTTTCCACAGAAACAAACTATGGGCTCCTCTAGGCAACCTGTGTACTGATCATTCATCATGATTTGCCTCCATAAATCTGTGTGTGACAGTGATGATCTTAGTAGATGACCCAATCTATGGGTGTACATGATGAAATCATACCAATGTGTATCAAAATTGTACTGTTTGCCTTTTATGTCCTTTCACCTGTCCATTAGCTTTTCAGGTAAGGCTATTTGCTGCGTGTGTGTGTGTGCTATCTTGGTTAAACCTAGGCCAGTTTTCTAATGCCTATTGATTAGGTGACAAGCAGCTCCCGTATAGAATATTTTCAAGGTGCAGCAGAATTCTGGTCATCAAACCACAAAACAGATTTCCCCCTTTCTTTAGGTGTGATCTTAGGCTAAATCTCATTACAGAAAATGCCTTGCCTTTCAAGCACTCTTTGCTAAGAAGCCAGAATTGCTAATGAAACCTGTTTTGTTTCATTGTGCTGTTTTCAATTATAAGAAGATTTGTAGCTTGTGAGGTGGTTTTGGAGACATTGTAAGGATTCTTTGCCTCGCTATTGCCTCCCTCCCTCATCTTTTTATTTTCAACCTTTTATCTCTATTCTGTCGTACCCCATCCCATCACGTCATGCTGCAATGGTTAAATAAACCCCTAATTCTGCCTTTTGTGAAGCTCTAATCCTTTTATTTCATAAATCTTGTTTAATCCAAAAGGCTTCCTTTCATCTTCTCAATCGTCAGTTGGGTCACTACTGTTGTTTCCTATAAACAGACCCTGCAAATCCTGCATTGACTTGGGAGTTTTAGAAAAGCTTTCAAGTGTTTCTATATTGTCATTAGATCCTACTCAAACTGTCCCAAACCCACTAAATGACATATTGCTGCTCTCTTGGGCTGTGTCCACATTACCAGCCAGGTTGTTCTTTTTCTCAATTCAGATTGAAACTAAATCAGTATTTCAGAAGAAATTCCAGGATAGATATGGATTGTGGCCAACGTGTGCACACCAGGTCCCAAAAACAGCAGTTTGGGAACTGGGTGCAGTTTAGGCACTGGATGCAGAGTAAATAGGAGTTTGTACTTAGCTTCACTCTCATGCTGGCTCTTCAATTACATTCACATTTCATCCCAGCTATGCAAGAATCAGAGATACATACACCCACACATGCACACAACTCTCTATTCAGACAGGCAAGAGGCAATATAACATTTCAAGGCCATGCAAAACTACTTGCAGAGAGTGCAGAGCAGGGCTAGTCAGAGGTTTAGCCTGGGAAGAGTCCTGGGAGCCAGGAAGAACACTGGAGGGACATATTCAACCCCAGAACTGTTGCTCTCCCACCCTTTCTCTACCATGTGATGTTAATAATACTATGCAGTGTCAACATTACAACTCTTTATTCCCAGTCTAAAATATTTTGTTAAAGTTTTTAATGAACGGGCGATTAAAAGGGGGGAATTTTTTATGAAAATTGAGTAACCTATTGTTTCTTATTGTTTTAAATTATTGCTAATATGAAGGAGACTCCTAAAAAAAGATTAGTTAATTGACTGAACACCCTTAACAAATCAAACAGCCTCTACAGGAGTTTAGAATAATAGATTCCCAAGAGAAAAGCATTATGTTGCTTGTTCTGGATTGACTCTGTAATGCAAGATGATCCTTCAATATGATCCTTATTACGGTAATTATATTCTATACTCCTCTTGTGAGCATCACTAGATAGGACTTCAAGGGTTGTTCTGACCTGCAAAGATAGCAAGACTGACGGGAACTCAGCGTGACATGAGAAAGACTAAAGCCTTTATTTCTGGCTTCCCAGGCCACCTGTTTGCCTGAAGTCTGTGTTGTGTGAAACAGCAAATATTTCTAATGGGTAATTGCTCCCTCTCCCTAAGGTCTGCACAGGTACCAGTGTACCCCCATACACCATTATCTTTTACATTTTGACTACAGATGTTTCAGTGCTGACAAATAGAATAATAGGAATGCAAGTGTCGCTGATGGGAGATCATAGGGCTATTTACTCCAAATCTCTTTCCACACAAAATATTAAAGACAGTAAGTTTATTAATTAATTAATTAATTAATAACCTTCCCCTTTGTATTATTCAGTGTGTGTGTGTGTGTGTCTGCATCTGTGTGTGGTACCTTCCTCATTCATTTGTGTTCCTTTTAGTATCAGATATAATCCCACCCTGGCTCTATGGCAGGAGTGAGGAAGCTGTGGCTCTTCAGATCACATCAGTCTGCTGAAAGTTGGAATCCAACAACATATAGAAGACCACTGGTCCTCAGCCTTTCTCTAGGAAATTGGAGGGATTCTGAAAAGTTGAATGAGCGTTTTTAAAAATCACAAAGGAAACAATGGCTGCAAACAAATATCAAATGACTTTATGATAAAATATTTAAGCTTTTTTTCTGCTTTTCTGGAAAATAACACTTCAGGTATTACTTAATTAACATGGGCACTATCCCCTGGAAGTAGCCTTACTGAATGAAGGAGAGCTATGCAAAAGGTTCTGCTCATTGAAATAGGCCTTGTCTTGTATAGGAAGACTGCCTATTCTCATTACATTCTTATTAAAGAGAATCTCAAAAAGTATGAGCTTAGGCAGGGTTCCTCAACCTTGGTCCTCCAGATGTTTTTGGCCTACAACTCCTATGATCCCTAGCTAGCAGGACCAGTGGTCAGGAATGATGGGAACTGTAGTCTCAAAATAGCTGGAGGGCCGAGGTTGAGGATGCCTAGTAACTCGTCTCTTTTCCATAGTGCAAATTACTGGTTATCTTATAAAACATTTATTTTCTCACACAGTTTGAGATTCAGCTTAGTACATGCATAGTTTTCCAGCTACCCTGGATGATATACAAAGAAGCACTTGAATATTTAACTTCTAGTCCAAACTAGATCCAAACATATCCCAGTGTTTGCTGTATTGTTACTAATTTACAGATGAAAATTCATTTGGTAAGTCTAAGTACATGCTGGAAGAACATCAAAAATGTTTGTTATCTTTATCAAAAGTGAGTCTAAGGGAGTAGATCAACAGGACCATGTACCGTATTTTTCGCCCTATAGGACACACTTTCCCCCCTCCAAAAATGAAGGGGAAATGTGTGTGCATCCTATGGGGCGAATGCAGGCTTTCGCTGAAGCCTGGAGAGCGAGAGGGGTCGGTGCGCACCAACCCCTCTCGCTCTCCAGGCTTCGCGGACGTCTCCGCAAGCAGCGGGAGCGCTCCCGCTGCTTGCGGAGAGTTGCCTGCATGCTGAAGCCTGCGCGCGCTGAGCTCAGCGCGTCCAGGCTTCGCGGACCTCTCCGCAAGCAGCGGGAGCGCTCCCGCTGCTTGCGGAGAGTTGCCTGCACGCTGAAGCCTGCCCGCGCTGAGCTCAGCGCGTCCAGGCTTCGCGGACCTCTCCGCAAGCAGCGGGAGCCAGCGCTGGGCTCCCACTGATTGCAGAGAGCTGCCTGTTTGGGGGCTGGGGTAGGGGGAAGCTCGGGCTTCCCCCGCTCCAGCCCTGCGCCTGGGGGGAAAATAATTTTTTCCCCTTTATTTCCCCCCAAAAAAACTAGGTGCGCCTTATAGGACGGTGCGTCCTATAGGGCGAAAAATACGGTAAATTTGATAAAGTTCTACACGACCAGCCTTTCAAAGTCCTGAAATCCCCTTTTTTATATCCTGGCTTGCAGTGGCAAAAAGCTTGAGCACCTCAACCTAACTAAACCTCTTACCTAGACTGGTTCAAACAAAACATGGAGTCAAACATAGAGCCAAACTTTGTTTAAAAGAACTACATGGCACAGTACACTAGTCTCACAATTCCAGACTGCCCCCCCACCACACACACACAAATGCAAAATGTTTGTTATAAGGGAGCTTTTGATCTAGGAATCTCTCACCTGTATTCTAAATCCCAAGAGGACTGTACCATTTGATTCTCCTGAACATAGAGTTCTCCCAGAAACATTCATTTACAACTGAATTAAAAATTTGCAAAATACATACAGTACTCTGGAGCAGGTCGGGCTTTTGTCTTTGTTCTCCCCCAGACAGTATACCCCACTCTGCATCACAAACTGCATTTTAACACACTCTCTCTCTGTCACTGTCTTTGTCTCTGGATCTTGGTGTCTGTCTGTCTGTCTGTCTGTCTCTCTCTCTCTCTCTCTCTCTCTCTCACACACACACACACACACACAGAGAGAGAGAGAGAGTGTTTCATAAGCAGTTTGTGAAGCAAGACTGGGAGAGCATTGAAGGCAAATTAAAGCCAACCCCAGTTTGCTCCCTGAACCTTGCATTTCTTTGGATCCAGGCTTTTATCATAAAGAGATACAATCACAAAGTAAGTCATCAGCACATTACATGCTTGTTCTAGATACATACTGTGTAAGATATTAAAAGATCCTCTCAATCATTAAAAAGTCTGTACAGTAAGGCAATAAAATAAAATAGGGTGAAGAGAGGCAGTGGCTCAAACTTAGGTCTACCACAGCAAAAAATAAATTCTTCTCCAGACTACATAAATTGCCAACTAGATGTTTGTCTATATTTCTTTTGCCCACCACTGCCTGGCACTTGTATATCTGTACTTTTTACTATACTAAATGGTAGAGACAGCCACAGGAGGTTTCTCTGGACATTCTTGGCTGGATTCATCAAAGAAGCCGGATGTAGAGAGAGAATTGCAGGATTTTCTTGTGAACAGAGTACCACTTCACAGCTAACTGTGAAAAGGCTCAATCACTGCACTGTCTGCTTTGATTCTCTCTCTCTCTCTCCCTCTCTCTCCCCGGATGCATCTGGATAGAGCTTCATACAAGAGAAGCTTAGAAGAGAAGTTGGCTGATAGCCCTAATGTGGCGAAAAGAATTTGAAGCAGAGGAGGCAGAGATGGTGTTGCTGGTTACGTCCAATGAAAGGGAAATATGTGGCTAAATAATGTCTTGAACTTGAAGGGAACTGTGTGAGGGTGTATTAATATTACCATCTTGCAATTAAATTTGTTAAAGTTTTTTTTTTTAAAATGTCTGAGTCCAGGTTGGGCTAAGTTTAGAACTATATGTGTGGAAAGTATGAAGAAACTCCAAAGATATCTCTGGAAATATGTTATCTCTGCTGCTGATTCACACATACCTCCCAAATTTCTCTTTGTACTATGTTTTACTAACTATAATGCCTATGTATCTGGTGAATCTATCAGTACATTACAAGCACTAGTCATACATGATATCAATATGACTTTTCGTAAATACATTGTTAATCCCACAAAGAACTGTATATATTACTTCTGTGTAAACTGAATTCAAAAATGGGAGGGAGTGACTATACCTTCTGCATCCCTTGAGCATTCAGCATATAACACCAGCATAGAGCCCATTCAAATACTTTATGATGAATATGCAAAAGGATGACCTGGACAGTAAACATTATAGATCAGGCATAGGCAACCTCGGCCCTCCAGATGTTTTGGGACTACAACTTCCATGATCCCTAGCTAACAGGACCAGTGGTCAGGGATGATGGGAATTGTATTTGCAAAACATCTGGAGGGTCGAGATTGCCTATGCCTGTTATAGATCTTCAAATTTCCCAGGTGTGCAAGTTTGTGTTTATAAATATACGCCTCACTTCATTGATCCTAGTTCTGATGAACTAGAAAGATGTCCACAAAAGCTTCCATCATTGTAAATCAGTTTTCTCCTTTCTTAATATCTGATTCTAAGTTTAGAAACTGACAGATTTTCCAGAAAGTGTCTTTATTTTTCACAAAGCATAGTCAAAGTGTAGAATGGGCATCACTAGAGAAAGGCAGTTTCAAGAATAGCTGTTTCAACACTTATGATTGTGTGGCAGTGTGCAGTGTTTGATCATACCATTGTATGAAACATTTAGCAGGATTACCATAAAACATTTTAACAAAAATGTATTTTTTGCTTATTTTGGCAACTTCTCTACATGTAGTAACCACAACCACAAATGATTTCCTTAGTCTTCTGGTACTCCTGGGCCCTGATTTTCTGCCTCTGCATTATTGTTTTTAAAATCTTGTCATCATATTTATTGACGCTTACCTAAAGCCATGGCAGCACAGTACCTCTCCTGTCTTTAGTGCTGCTGTTGTCATTACCTCTTAACCTCCCGTTGCACTGATTAACCAGTTTGGCCTCAAGCCACTCTTTTTCACATGCACAAACCTTTCACTTATGAAATTTACTTCTCTAATAAATCCCAAACCACAGAAGCAATGGCATGTTTAGTTGAGCAAACTGTATTAGAGCCAAACAGGAGAATGGAGTGTCTTAATATTTTGGGATCTGAGTGAATGGTTTAGTCAGTTGCTTTAAAGACAGGAGCCCTGCTTCTCCAAAGTCAAAGGAAAGAACCAGGTGAAGGGCCACCTGCAAAAAGTTTACACCAGCTAAATTCAGTGGCTTTGTATTTCATTAATGGCCGATCAACACAATCCAGCTCACATTTACCACATTATTCACCACACACTTTCTGTACAGTAGCTTTGTGGTTGCCTGACAAATGTGGGTGTGAGGAAAAACCAAATATGGGTATGATGGCAAGTTGTGCTCAACTTACATTTATTCAATCCACATTATCACAATCACAAAATGCTTCTATGACATATGTGTCATCTTGCTGCACTAGAGCAGCTAGCCATCTTCCAGAGCCCAATCTTCTTTAAGGTCCTTCAGCAATCAGCAGCTCTGCATAACTATCAATGTGCACGTGATGAAGTGGCAGAGCCAGCAATGAGGCTCTGCTGCCCATGCAATGTGTGACCAGGGCTTACACGTACTGTAATGTACCCTGTACTTATCAGGTCCTAAGTATTTTCACATTCTATTTCTGGAAGAAGAAGAAGAAGAAGAAGAAGAAGAAGACGACTAGCTCACATTCAGTATTTACGCAACATCATGGTGTGTGAGACGAGTGCATCAAGTATGAAAGCATTGGGGGGGGGAAATGGAAATTTATTTCACAGAGAGAAAACTATCGTTATTAAATGACTCAATTCAAGGCATTCCTTCGTATGTCTTAACTGCCATAATCAGTTACTTGTGACATGTTAGTGCAAGTGAAATAATCAAAAGTAGTTATTTTAGCTGAATCCTGGAAATGAGAGGGCTTTTTAAAATGTGTTTGTAATGATCTTTTGGATTCCGCTCAATTTGTTGATCTCAGACCTGGGAATGATGTATTGCATTTTTCCCCATACTAGAATGGAATGCAGTTTCATTCACAGTATTAAACTAAGAATGTCTTTTGTCTGTAGTTTTATACCATTTCTCTTCCACTTTATGTTTCACAATTTTTGTAAGGCTCCACTGGTAACAATTCCTAGCCACTGTAGCCTTTTAATACTATCCTTAACTTCAAAAGTCTTCTTTGTTTTGTTAGGGATAATGTCATGTTAAACTTTAGGCTTATGCTATGACCCTAGCTTTTGGAAATCCATAATCATAGGTGAGGGACGCGGGTGGCGCTGTGGGTAAAACCTCAGCGCCTAGGACTTGCCGATCGTATGGCCGGCAGTTCGAATCCCCACGGCGGGGTGAGCTCCCGTCTTTCGGTCCCAGCTCCTACCCACCTAGCAGTTCGAAAGCACTCTTATGTGCAAGTAGATAAATAGGTACCGCTTTATAGCGGGAAGGTAAACGGCGTTTCCATGTGCTGCGCTGGTGCTGGCTCGCCAGAGCAGCTTTGTCACGCTGGCCACATGACCCGGAAGTGTCTCCGGACAGCGCTGGCTCCCAGCCTCTTAAGTGAGATGGGCGCACAACCCTAGAGTCGGACACGACTGGCCCGCACGGGCAGGGGTACCTTTACCTTTACCTTTAATCATAGGTGAATTCATAAGATCAACACAATAATCCATAATTTGAAGGTAAAAACATTAATGGTTGTATAGCCATCTTGCATAAAGGTAAAGGGACCCATGACCATTAGGTCTAGTCGTGACCGACTCTGGGGTTGCGGCGTTCATCTCGCTTTACTGGCTGAGGGAGCCAGCATACAGCTTCCGGGTCATGTGGCCAGCATGACTAAGCCGCTTCTGGCGAACCAGAGCAGCGCACAGAAACGCCATTTACCTTCCCACCGGAGCAGTACCTATTTATCTACTTGCACTTTGACATGCTTTCAAATTGCTAGGTGGGCAGGAGCAGGGACAGAGCAACGGGAGCTCACCCCATCGCGGGGATTCGAACCGCCGACCTTCTGATCGACAAGTCCTAGGCTCTGTGGTTTAACCCACAGCGCCACCCGTGTCCCATCTTGTATACTTCATGTCAAATAGTTGGAGAAAATGAAATGATTAGTAAAGTTTTACCATCAGTAAAAATCCCAAATATAGTTTCAGATTCAGTGCAATAGAGTCAAAAATCCATCAACTGCTGGAAAAGTGCCAGATGGGTGGGGCATAAATTATAAATTATTCATATGAATCTCATCTCAACCAAGGACATATTGGTGGCTTTTGATAATGTCAAGAATGGTCATAGCCAGGATTTTTGTGGGGGGGCAGGACTTTTGTTAGGTGGAGGAAAGAACCGATGAGACTGGTCAGTTAGTTACCGTAAGTATTTCTATTGTTTTACTTGATGGGGGAGCAGGTGCCCCCCATGATGTCAAGTCATTTCTCCATGGGAATTAAGATCTCTCATATTCTTGTGGCAAGGACTGTTACCCATTTTGAGTTACAAATCTTAGTTAATAAATATAGAGATGGTAAGATTTATGATGTGTGGTAATAAATAATAATAATAAATTTATTATTTATACCCCACCCATCTGGCTGGGTTTCCCCAGCCACTCTGGGCAGCTTCCAACAAAGATTAAAAATACATTAAAACATCAGTCATTAAAAACATCCCTAAACAGGGCTGCCTTCAGATGTCTTCTAAACGTCAGATAGTTGTCTATTTCTTTGACATCTGATGGGAGGGTGTTCCACAGGGCGGGCACCCCTACCGAGAAGGCCCTCTGCCTGGTTCCCTGTAACTTGGCTTCTCGCAGTAAGGGAACCGGCAGAAGGTCCTTGGTGCTGGATCTCAGTGTCTGGGCAGAACGATGGGGGTGGAGACACTCCTTCAGGTATACTGGACCGAGGCCGTTTAGGGCTTTAAAGTTCAGCACCAACACTTTGAATTGTGCTCGGAAACGTACTGGGAG